CCCCAAAACCCCAAAACCCCAAAACCCCAAAACCCCACATTTTAGCTTTCAAATTGAAAATGACGTGAATTCCTTCGAAACTTTAGAACATATTGAGAAGTTTTAGTTCTTTGTCGACATAGTCCTATTGGTCTTAATTGAGCAAGATATATCCCATTACCATTCCAGCTGGCTGACCAATGACTCAGAAAGTCATCCAGAAGATGAAATTCCCCACATTTCCTCCAAGAGCTTTCTTGTATTTATCTTGGATAATGATGAAAGGGACTTGGATGGCCATTGAATTAAACCCAATCATTGAGACATACTCTAGGAGCCCAAAAATGATGAATTCGTGCAGAATGGCACTGAATAAGAACACTAAGAACATGCTGAAAGCCTTGGAGCGTCCTCTTCTGATGCTAGGAAGGTAGATATGCCTGGTTAACCAATTATGAACTGGAAGGTTCCACTTCCTCCAGTACTGACTCAGACTTGTAGAATTCCACCAGTCTAGATAGAAGGATCTATCTGAAAACCCAGTGAGGTCTGCATACGCATTCAAGTAGGTATGGAAGTGACTGTAGAACATGATCAGCCAAGAGTAAGTGTTTGGAACTGCTAACCTGACGAAATAGTATGAAGCTGCTACATATTCTTCCTTCTTAATGCTATTTGAACAATCTGTGACAAGTGGGGAGACATATTCCATGACAATTATCACATACATTGCTTGCCAGGCTAAAAACTCGACAATTCTTAAGGCGAATCTTTTGTAGTTGCGCTCCTTCTTGAAGGGATACTTCAGTTGGAAATTCAGGGTTGGAATCAAAATGAAGATAATGACGTCAAATAGCTTAATATTTTTGGGATAGTCAATTACACTCCTAGCAATAGGTTTTGGGAGATTCAACTTTTTGCCGACTTTTGTGAGATAGTCTTCATCCTGAGAAGCATTTGGCTTTTCTTTTGAGTCTTTGTCACTATCTGAGCTGAGTAAGCTCCTATGATACCTAATATCATGCCATATATGATGATAACTGATCATTTTGAGGAAGAATCCACAGGAAAATAAGAGAGGATAAACTCTTACTAGCATATGGACTTGCATGTACATTCCGAACCAGCAAGGATATCCGAGCATATAGAAGAGGTTTATCAATATCAGCACGAAGACGATGGCTCTTGGCACTTTTATACATGATGCAAAGTATTTCTCTATTCCAAGTGATATTAAAGGTCCTGTTACCTATTGTACAGAAGTGAGTTTTATGCTGACGCATTTGAAAAATTAAAGTTTTACTAATGACGTTAAAATGTAAAGTAAAATGTAAATAAAAAATTACCAGGTTCTGAACATATAGGAGGTATCTCAAATTTTTGAGTTGAAAAGTTGTTGGATTTCTGAACAAGTCAAGCCAGACCTTCCCAAACACCCAGCCTTCTTCGTTGAGGACCTTCAGGATATTCTGGGCGTTAGAAGCGATGAGTAAAATTATCAAGATATTCACAATCCCTCTGTAGCTTTGGTTTTCAGCGTTTCTAGAAAGAGCAGAGATTCCTCTTCCAGTATGGGAATTGACCATAATGGGTCTCCCAATATCTTTTTCAGCCATTGCAAACTCTCTAAGGATGTTTCAAACCTTCTCAAAGTCTTGAGAATGATTTTGGTGTGGCTTGATCATCAAAATTTTCTGTTTTGTCTGGCTTTTCCTTACAACTTCAGCAAGTTTTGCGACCTGTTCACCATCGATTTCAAGGAAAGAGAGGGTACAATGAGGAATCATCTCTTCAAAATCACCCACAAGGGCGCTCTTGTATGCCTGGGTATACTCTATTTTATCTTGGCTCACTTGGGCAAATATGGTAGCCCACTCTATTAGGCTCCTGCCTTTGTCATCAAGGCTGGAGCTAGCCAGCTCGGCCTTTAGCTTATAGATCTTTGTATCAATCATATTCAGGAATTCAAAAATTATTCTTAAATAGGGGTTTTGGGGTTTTGGGGTTTTGGGGTTTTGGGGTTTTGGGGTTTTGGGG